AAGCGCTGTGGCCTGGCCTTTATACTTCCTGTCCTGCCCCTTGACTTCCGGGGGGCGGGGACAGGCCACGGTGGCTCCGCCCACTCTGGCGGCTGTTCTGGCTCGTCCCTTCCTGGGGCGCCTGGGAGCCAGGCCGCCCCGCTACACGGCCCCCCCTCAAGGCTGGCTCCCGGGTACCGGGGCCAGACCCTTCCATACCTCCTAGGAAGGGAAAGGAAGTCGGCGTTCACGTGGTCTCTCCCAGCCTGATGGCGAACGGTGAAGGCATAAGGTTGCAGCGCTAAGTACCACCGCTGTAGCCGCATATTATGGTCCTTCATGCGGGCCAACCACTGGAGAGCAGAGTGGTCGGTGACCAAGATGAAAGGGGCTCCTAGGAGATAGTACCGCAGGGCGTCGCAGGCCCACTTCGCGGCTAGGGCTTCCTTTTCCACCACTGCATAGTTCTTTTCCCGGGGGAAGAGCTTCCGACTGATGTAAAGGACCGGATGCTCTTCGCCACCAATCTCTTGGGAGAGGACTGCCCCGAGACCCACCTCCGAAGCGTCAGTTTGCAGGATGAAGGCCTGCTTGAAATTGGGGCTATACAAGACTGGCTCTTGACAGAGGCTTGTTTTGAGGCTTTGAAAGGCTTCGTCACACTCGCGGGTCCAGACCACTTGCCGGGGGCTTTCCTTTGTCAAGAGTCCCGTCAAGGGGGCTGCGATCGCCGCGAAGTGGGGAATGAAGCGTCGATAATACCCCGCTAGCCCCAGAAACTGGCGTACCTGCCGCTTCGTGGTGGGCGGGGGGCAGGTCGCAATGGCCTGCACCTTGTCCACCAGTGGTTTCACCTGTCCGTGCCCGATAGCGTACCCCAGATACTTAGTTTCTTGTCGGCCGATGCAACACTTCTTCGGGTTGGCTGTTAACCCAGCGGCCCGCAAGGACCTCAGGACGGCTGCAACCTGTTCTAGATGGTTTTCCCACTGCGGGCTGTAAATGACTACGTCGTCCAAATAGGCCGCCGCGTAGTCTTGATGGGGTTGGAGGAGGCGGTCCATCAGGCGCTGAAACGTGGCCGGGGCTCCGTGGAGGCCGAAGGGCATTCGAGTAAACTGGTATAGGCCCATAGGGGTGGCGAACGCAGTTTTCTCCCTGGAAGTAGGATCCAGGGGGATTTGCCAATACCCCTTGCTGAGGTCCAGGGTCGTGATGTAATGAGCTCCTCCTAACCGGGCCAACAGCTTGTCTATCTGGGGCATGGGATAGGCATCGAACTTGGAGATGGCATTCACACGCCTAAAGTCGATGCAGAACCGTTGGGAGCCGTCGGGCTTCGGTACCAACACGATTGGGCTTCGCCACTCGCTGTGCGATGGTTCAATCACGCCCAGGTCCAGCATCGCCCGTACCTCCTCATCCACGGCGCCTCTCCGGTGATATGGCAAGGGTCTGGTCGTGCCGCGAATCACCACCCCCGGTTCCGTTTGGATCCTATGGTACACCAGGGAGGTGGCTCCTGGTTGGGCAGTGAAGGTGTGATGGAATGCTCGTAGGAGGCACCGGGTTTGCTTGAGTTGTTCCTCCGTCAGGGTCTCCCCAAGTTGGGGTTCCTCCGGGTCCCGGGTATGGGCTACCTGGGGCCCTAGCTCGGGCTCTGGTGGGTAGGGGTTAATCAAAAGCCCTTCCCGTTCCCGCCAGGGCTTGAGCAGGTTGATGTGGTACTGCTGTATCCGCTTCTTCCGGTCGGGCTGGTCGATCTCATATGTAACCGGGCCCACTTTCCGGACCACCTCATATGGTCCTTGCCAGCGAGCCAGAACCTTCGACTCACTGGAGGGGAGAAGGAGTAATACCCCGTCTCCGGGTAAGAAGTCCCGTGTTTGGGCGTCCCGGTTGTAGCCCTGGGCTTGCGTCTCCTGGGCGGCTTTCAAATTCTCTTGGGCCCGGTCTCCAGCCTGCTTAAGATGCTCCTGGAGCTGGATCATGTAATTTAAGAGGCCCTGGGCCGGTGAGGGGGTTTGCTCCCAAGTTTCCCTCACTAGGTCCAATAGGCCTTGCGGTCGACGGCTGTAGAGCAGTTCGAACGGCGAGAATTTCGTCGACGACTGGGGGACCTCTCGGACCGCTAGGAGCAAGGGTGGGAGTAGCTGGTCCCATCAGCGAAGGTCCTCCGGGGGGAACTTACGGAGCATGTCTTTTAGGGTCCGGTTAAACCTCTCGACCAGCCCGTCCGTCTGGGGATGATAGACTGACGTTTGCAGTTGCTTGACCCCCAGAAGCTCACACACCTGGCGGAGCAACCGCGAAGTAAAGTTTGTCCCTTGATCCGTGAGGATCTCGCGGGGTAGGCCGACATGGGCAAAAATCTTCACCAGTTCATCAGCGATGGTGCGGGCTGTAATGTTCCGGAGGGGAATTGCCTCAGGGAACCGGGTAGCATAGTCTAACATCACCAAGATGTATTGAAACCCTGCACTGCTTTTGGGAAGGGGCCCCACCAGGTCCATGGCCACGCGCTCGAAGGGTGTCTCAATTAGGGGCATCGGGACCAACGGGGCTTTGGGAGTCCGGGCCGGAGCGGCCAACTGGCAGCGCGGGCAGGAATTACAGTAATTCTTCACCTCCTGGTACACCCCTGGCCAGAAGAAGCATCCCAAAATCCGGGCCACGGTTTTCTCGTGACCGAGGTGTCCAGCCGTGGGGACGTCGTGGGCCAACTTCATGACAGACTGTCGATGACGCCGGGGAACGAGGAGTTGGGTTCGGGTCTCCCCCGTGTGGGGGTCCCGCTCGACCGATACAGGTGGTCCTGCCGCAACTCAAAGTGTGGCCACCGGGCCGCTCGACCGGGGTCGAGGACAGTCCCATTCGCCATGGCCAATTGTTCGTATACTTGCTGAAGTGTGGGGTCGGCCCATTGGTCCCGGCAGAAGTCCATGGTGGGCGAGGAATCGGTCGCCGCCCCTGGGGGAGCGTTCTCTGGTTCTGCGGCCGAGCTGGTTGGCTCGGGGGTTTCCCTCTCCTCTCCTTCACTCTCGGGGGCCTCCCCTTCAAAGGCGGGCATGGCCCGCGGGTCGTCTCCTGCGTGCCGGCGGAGGATGGCTGGAAACTCCGGCCAGTCCCGGCCCAGGATCACGGGGTATGCCAGTCGTGGGGCAAGTCCCACCACCATTGATCGGGTGACCCCCTCGATCGTCAGCTGGGCCCGGGTACTCCGGTAGGGCCGTACGTCCCCATGGATGCACTGCAGGCGAATTTCACCCAAATGGGCGTCAGCCGGGGGACCGAAGCGTTGGCGGACTAGCGTCTGTCCGCAGCCCGAGTCGAGGAGGGCCACCATCGGGTATCCTTCAAGGACCACCGGCACGGTGATCTTAGACGCCTGGGAAGGACGGGCCCGAGCCTCCCCTGCACAGACCTGGCCAAAGGTACACTCCAGCCCTGGGCAATCCCGCTGGAGATGGCCGTACTCCCCGCAGGCGAAACAGGGTCCCAGGGTGGCCCGTCCCGTCCGGGGCCGAACGCCAGGGGGGGGTCCCGTCGGACTTCGGTGGTCTTTTTGCCCTGTGGGGGTCGGGATCCGAGCGGGTCGCCCGGGTGCCACCGGGGCCCGAGTCCAACCCTCGGCTTCCCGGGAGGAAATCCGTGAATCCGCTCGAGCGGGTGTCCCTTTCTTCTCGGGGGTAGGGCGCTCCGCCCCGGGTGGGGCCCCTCGGAGTCCTGGGCCTATCGGCGTGTCAGCCGCGAGGAAGTCCTCCATTAGTGACACGGCAGTGGCCAGGGTCGCTGGTCAGTGGCGGAGGACCCAGGCCCGCCCCCGTGGTGGAAGAACATGGGTGAACTGCTCTAGCAGCACCTGTTCCATTACCTCCTCCGATGTTCGGTGCTTGGGTTGTAACCACCGCTTGCAGGTTTCCCGGAGTTCCTGGGCCACCTGCCGAGGTCGGGCCCCCGTGGGGTAGGTCAGACTCCTAAACCGCTGGCGGAAAGTCTCGGGGCTCACATCCAGGGCATCGAGAATGGCAGCCTTTACTTGGCTGTAGTCTTGGGCGGCTTCCACCGACAGGCCTCGGTAGACCATCTGCGCCGTCCCAGTCAGGTATGGGGCTAATATGGAAGCCCATAGCTCCGGGACCCAGCCGGCGACGGCGGCCACCCTCTCGAAGGTGACGAGAAAGGCTTCAGGGTCATCACCGGGGACCATTTTCGTCAGCCGGATCGGGGGGCTGGGCCGCGTAGTCCCGGCTGCGCCTCCAGGCTGTGCCTCTCCGGGTCGGGCCAGCGCCACTGCGAGTTGCTGGAGACACTCCCGCTGGAACTCCTGCTGCTGGGTGACCAGGTCTTGCACGAGCTGGTTTCGCTGAGTTCCAAGCTGCTCCATGAGCTGCTGCTGCTGTTGCAGCTGGGCGGCCTGCTGCTCCCTTTGCTGTTGCAGCTGGGCCGCCTGCTGCCGCTCCTGGGTTCTGTCACCAGGGCCAAGAGCTGGGACAGATCCATTTCTCTGGAGGGGGATCTTTCTCCCCCGGCCCCTCTCTCCCCGGAGTCGAGGGTTCGCGCCCACATCCTGGGCGGGTCTCCTGCCTGGCTCGCCACATGTAGTAGTTCCGGGGTGGGGCTCA